AGCAGGATGGTCTCCCAGAGAAAATAAAAAGAACCCCTTCCTAAAGATCACGTTCCCATGTTGAAAGCTTGCACACATAAAGCCCGCACCTTCCTCCAACCACAAGGCAGGCACAAATGCTGCCCACGATGTCCTCACCTGGGTCAGGCGGCATACAGGTACAGGAAAAGAGAGTATTGTAGCCCACTTTGAAGTCAGAGTTGATGGGGTAGTAATCGGCTAGCTTGATCATCTTCTTGAAAGCATCGTAGATAAAGATGAAGCTAATCAGAGAAGAGAAGCCCTCTTCAGTGAAGCGAGTAAAGTACTGAACCAGGAAGCTGGCATCGGTGGCCACCAAAATGAAGCACAGGAAGGCTGACCACAGGCCAATCCAAAGGCGAAACTCCAAGTAGTCAAAATCATGGTCCCTGAAAAGGAGAAACAAAGGTTAGACTCCGCCTCCAATGACCACAAAGAATAATATGCAACTACTGAATGTCTGCAGTACGATTGCTAACATTGCAAGATCGCACTGAGCCACTAGATAAAAGCTCATTCTTGTTTTCCAGAAAATATCAAGTTTAAGGATTTGGTCTAGTGATATTATTATGCCACCATAAAGAAATAATTCCTTGCTTGGCCAGCATGGCTCAGTGGTTGAGCACTGACCTATAAACCAGGAGGTCATGGTTAGATTTCTGGTCAGGGCACATGCCTGGGCCTTGGGTTCGATCCCCAGTAGGGGGCGTGTGTGAAGCAGCCAATGGATGTTTCTCTCTCAAAGATGTTTCCATCTCTCTTTCCATAACGTGGGTGGGCCTTGTCCAATCATCTATTTCTGTATTATTGGGATACAATGTACAAAAATAATGCAAAAGAGACAGCAGAAATTGGGAAACCGTTGTGAGCTCTTTCCTTCATCCTGTTACTAATTTTAAAAGGTGACAGCACACATGGTTCACATTTTTTTATGATTCTCCAGTTTTCAGGGCAAGCATTAAAACCTGTATCCCATGTCAGAGAAAATCTGTGGATCATGTAGAGTTACTGTTTGAGCCTACTGAACCTACAAAACAAGAATTTAACAATTTCTCAAGAAATTATAAAATATGTTGGGGAAAGTCTGGGAGAGACAGAGTAGAACAGTTTCTTTACTGAAGGATTTCTCAGATCCCTTAGTAAGCTAAAGTATAAAGTGAACTGCCAAGAGGGAGATATAATATACAGCATTTCCCAGACTTATTAGGATCACAGAAGTTTTTTTTCATAGAGTATCCATGGGACTACTAATTGATGAAACACACTGTGGGAATTATCCATCTACACAAAATACTCTGCATCTAGACAAAATATCAGCACTGTCATTACAATATTTAAGTAACTGATACAGCACTGTAAATAAAATAAGGTTTGGCACAACAAGAAACATTTGAGAAACCCCGCTTTAAATCCATCACTGACTTACAAGGTTTCTTGCTGCTTTACAACTGTTTTCAAATAAATTACTTGGAACTATGTTTATGTTACCAATTATGACAAAACAGGAGGGAAAGTGAGAAAGGAACTTACTTAGTGAAAGGAAATAGTCTCTCTCCTTCAATTATCTAAAGTAAACTGGGATACAAACATTTTCTGTAGATTAAGGCTCTGATCACATTGCATCCAATAAATCTTCCTGCAAAGGTTGTGCGTGTTTGTTCCTGTTTATAGTACATGCTTGTTTAATCTTTCCACAAAAGCTCTCTTGTCTCACACAATGTTTTCTTAAACATATAAAAACTGTTTGACTCTTTCTATAAACTGACATGAACAGAATTCTTTCCAATGTCTTTCTGAGAATTATACTAGAGGAGGGATGTGTAATAATGAGCTAGAGAAAACTCACAACATTATTTAAAATGTAGAACTTCAAATTCTCAGAAGACCCTCGCTGATATTCTCAACCCAGTTTTCAAACTGCTAGTTTTAAGTCCTCATCCCCTCTTCTATCTTGTGATCATTTCTGATGGGACACAGTTTCAATATTATGTGAGTTGTTAAGTCCATGAGGTATAGTACAAGTAATGACATTTCTAACATTAAAATACTAAAAATGTATAATAATATAATATAGAAATTCCAACAAGGAGTACTAGCAAGTTTTATGAAATTCTTCAATCTGTTTCAGGGTTGAGATCTGCCAGTAAAGGCAATTCTCTCTTAAAGGTATTAAGTTCATTAGAAAGAGGCTGGAATGCCCAATTTTATTTCAAACCCATTTGTGTGCTAATGTGGCCACTTGGATAATTTGCTTAACTTGATTTTCTCCTTCTTACAATGATCCGGCAATTTCTAAAAGAAAATATTAATATCATAATTATCATGCCCATTAGTATGTCTAGTGATTCTGTAAGAGCTGGATGCTATGGAGTTAGAAATCAGGGACTCATATTCCAGCCCTGCCAACGACTGGTGATGTAACCATCAGCAATCCACTTACCCACTCCACACCAGCTTTCTCATCGATCAAGCAGAACACAGCCCTACCTCACAGGACTGCTACAAGAATTAAATGAGGGAGTATATGTAATGCACATAAGATAATGTTTGGGACATGGTCAGCACTCAACAAATATTAGTTATTACTCAGCTGAGCGCTACAATATATCTGTAGCTAAGAACACTGTAGTGGAGGTTAGGAGCAGAGGACCACTGGAGCAGCCAGTCTCTTTCATGAATGAGCCATGTGACCTTGAACAAGACACTTCCTATCTCTGGTGTGTCAGTCAGGGTCATGGCAAGAAGTAGAAGTCATTTTCAAATGGGGTTTTGAGAACAACTTAATAAATGAGCTATTTACAGGGATCAGCAACATCAGGAAGCCATTCCTACCTCCTGGTTTGAAAAGGCCAAGGAAGAAATAGACCCTGCTGAGGGCTACAGACAGGGTGTAGGAGCCACCCTACAGGGGCTGCACTCAAGGGACCAGCCACTGCCAGGCAAGGGTGCTAAGCCGAGACAGGGAGGTGGGGGAGGCAGACACATATCCTGACTTCTCTTCATTCTTGTCGTGTGGGTGCTCCACACTCCACCAAACCCATCAGGAAGTCAGAGGGCAAAGGAGCCCAAGCAGGAGGGTAAGGGACAATGAAGGGGGCGGCATGGGCCTCATGGAATCAGATGTAAAATGACTATTGGACTTCCTAACCTCTCAGGGCCATTCACACTCCATGGCTTACAACTCCCATATTCTGGTCTTCTGAACCACTATCCTATGCTCCATCTAGACTACGGATGTTCTACAGTGACACAGTCCTAATTTACAATTAGATGTGTCTGTACATACTTGCTGAAATTAAATAGAAGCCTCTCAAAAACCAGAACAGGCCCCGTGCTGCTCAGAATAGTGAGGGGTTGACCAGCGAAGAGGCAGAAGATGGCTCCAGAGACGGCTGTGCCCAGGAAGCTCTCCAACACGCCCTAGTAGGAAGAAAACACAGGTATTAAAATGCATGGCATTTTTCTTCTTGTGTTGGTGTCACTAGGGAAGTGAGGCCACCTGATATGCTATTACGAGGGCCATGCAAACATAGCAAACAGATACGAACAATAGTGTCTTACCAGTACAAGTATCATCATTTATTTTACCATGCATGCGATTTAGTCATTCCTCCCTACCCCAATGGCTGTATTGCTCAAAGAACAAAGTGACTAAAATGACAGGTGGTTGACTACAGAAGGCGGAAGATGACTCTGACCCATTCGGAAAATAATACCTGAAGCTTTTGCACATAAAATCACATTATACAATCCCGCCAAGTGGGGAGAAGTGATGTAGCCCTTTGGATGGTGTTGTAGTCTTTGTGGTGACCTTCAGTGTTTTTTTAGCCTGATTTCACCTTGCACATAGCTGGTTCTTATAAGCAGTGACATTTTATGCACAAACGTTATTTTTTTTAGAGGAAAGCTTTTAAGTGCAGAGGGGAGCAAAGGGGACACACAAAGTAGATTGGCCTCCAACCTGCAGTCTCTAAGACATCAATTCTAAAAATATTCTTATTACATATTCATTGTTCAATGCCAACTTAGACAGGAGCTTCGATTTACTTTATCTTAGAGGAAGTGAATGTGCAGGGGCATCATAGCTAAGCCTTTGTGGCCACATCTCCCTGGAGTTACATCTCTGGAAAACAACCCATTATTTTCCTTTAGCAAAACAAGAGCAAAGATAAATGAGCTACAAAGCATCACTGACTTATAAAATGATGCTAACTTAATCGCATCATTTGGGACCAATGCCTCAGATGGTGGCAAACTGGCCTGTTTCCTGTATTTTTCATCATTTCAAACTTCAGTTAGAGAAGCCCACATTTATTTGTAAAAAGGTCCATTTGTAAATGTAAGACAGTACTCTATCAAGAGAGGATTTTTAAATATAAAAATATGACAGAGACCCTTTATGTAAGGCGGTAAATCTGAACCACAAAAACTGTAAGATAAAATAGTTTTTAAATGAGTCAAGATATTCTACAGCTTTAAAAGACATATATTCAGTGGTAAATAAATTTATATAGTAGGGAGACTTAGGGGATCCCTGTAACTTTATGTGTATACTAAAGAAAATGGTACTAGGAAGATTTCCCTCTTCAACTGAACAATAATTATTTGTTTGTAGAAGCATGACTTATCTACACTAATAAAATAGAAACATGCAAATTGGTCATCATTCTGCTACAGCCACCAGCCAATCAGGATGAGTATGCAAATTAATCCAACAAAGATGGAGGGTTATTTTGCATATGCAGGCGCAGAGTGAAGACTGAAGGCTCTGGCCCGAGTGAAGACTGAAGACAACCGAAGACTGAAGAGGCTTGGCTTCTCCACTGCAGCTGGAGCGAAGAAGCCTCGAGGCTTGCCTTCTCCAAGGCCTATTGCACGAATCTCTTTGTGCAATGGGCCTCCAGTGTTTACATAAATCTAAACATCCCTCTGAGTGGAGCAGACTGGCTCTCTGGGAATCTGAGATGTTCCCAGTCTTTTCCCCCGACCCCCCAGTTAACGTATCCACCTATCAGCCTCCCTAAGTCACCTCGTTCCACTGCCCCCAAAATTCTCCCGCAACTTTTCATTCACTTTCATATAATATACATAAAATGACTGCAAATAAATTGATGTTTTTTTAATCAACTAATAAAATTGAAATACACTAAGTGCTATCTCCATTCAAAAGCCATCCTAGAAGACCCTTATTATAATGATTACCGAGCATATTTTTTATACAGCTTCAGAGCCAGCAATATTCTCCTTAAAACGACATCCTTCTCTTCTATAGATAGAGGTTAATTCAGAAAACAGACACAAATCCCTTAGCGTAGAATCATGTAACAATGGAGCTGGGGTGGGGATGGGGATGACAATAAGACTGGCTTCTCACACCAAGAGTATACACATCCTGAAATAATTCAGAACAATTTCTTCTTCTATCTAAGAAGTCTGGCAGAAAGAGACCCTGTTTCCAGGGATGTGAAATCTACTGCATGGTTGAAAGGTGCCATCTTATTTTATAGCCAATCCATATGTAATCAGAGTGTCCACTCCTTTCTTACTCAGAGGGACAGGGAGCAGAATAACAAGCAAGGTAGCAGAACCAGGCAGCATTTATGCAGAGACTAATTTATGCCCAACCAATTAGTATCAGTCTTCATCTCTTACATGTGAAGATACTGAGTTTCAGGAGGTTAAATGAATGAACAAATCCACATTTGGTACAACAATGAGGCACAACAAGTCTTTCAAACCACTACGTCACCCTTAGCAAGGCGAAAAGATGTGTCTGTGCCTCGGATTTTCTTGGGCATACAGTTTTTCTACTCCTCCTTGTGCATTGACATTGGGATCTTTATCATCTATCTTTCTTTTTCATGACTTACTTCAATGTGTGTTACATGAAAGGGTAGGACTGGAATGCTCCATGTGGCGGGACAAGCTGCACTGAGTACATGTGATAGGCAAAGCTTTTTGGCCTGCATCATTCTTTATCAAGGATGGGGTGCCTATTTTTCATCACTACTGCAGGGTCAAAATACAGCAAGGCCTGGGTGCAAAAAGAGAACATGAAGGAAGGAAGGAGGAACGTGAGATTAAGAATCTCTACTTGGTCTGCCATCACCATTAGTAACTGTGAGGGTAGGAACAGGGCCTCCTAGGTTCCTCATATTTGTCTTCCTCCCATCATGCTATACACTATACCTCGCGAGCTCTGCAGGCATCTGGGAAGCGCTACAGGAATCCAAGAAGAAATGCCCAAATCACACCCTATGTTCCACTTATCAAAGGTCAACAGCCATGGCTGCACATTCAGTAAAGATAACAGCAACTTTCTTCCAGAAAATGGCTTTGATTTATGGATGCCATGTGACAACTAAAAGGCAGATTATTTTTATTTCAGTACTTGATCCTTTGGTAAGTGCTAAAGTTTCCATTCTGTGGCTGACAATTTTGAAACAGAGAAAGGTGATTAATTATACACACTGCACTGGAAAGAAACTTGCTTGAACTTAGAGATGCTTCCAGCATTTCTCAGAAAAGAACTATTTTCACCATATTTTGACATGTTACTCTTGACAATACAGAAATTTACAAAAAAAAACACACCTCATGCATTGAATAACTTTAGTTTAATTGTACCTAGAATTTAAATCCATTTATAAAGTGAACTATCAGAAATCCCTTTTCTGATTTACTATATTCAGTGTTCACTGATATAAAAAAGGAAAATAATGGGTGGATGTGCATATTTTTAGTAGCAATATCTCAGAAAGATACTTCTATACCTTATTTCCCAAAGACGAGCAACTCCATAGCAACTCATGAGAATGCAGATGGCTGAGCTCTGATGTGTAGCAGAATCAGGAGCCATAAAGTCCTCCAACTCCATTTTGGTTAGGTTTTATCATATGTCGTTTCTGATCAAGTGTTGCCCACTGCAGAACAGTAGAAGGAACACACAACTGGCAGGCAGCAAATCTAGAGTCTAGACTTCATTCTGCCACCAAAGAGCTGATGATCTTGGGAATGTCACTTAACCTTTGTCAAATTTAGTTTTTTCATGTTGCAGATAAACATCGAGCTGATATAGTATAACCGTGGGCTCAGGCTTCAGACAATCTCAAGTTTACCTGAAGACTGTACCATGAAGTAACTAGCTCAGTGACTTTAAGCTAGTGACTTAATCTCCTTATGGCTTAATATATGTAGTAGGTTAGATAATGTATATAAAGTGCTTAGCATAGCCCCTGGCAGGTAATACACTTTTGATGAACAGTAACATAGACATAATGTATTTATTTAGATATAAGGTGAAGTTGGGCTAGATGATGTCCAAGGTCACTTCCAGGTGGCTCAGCACTAACAGCATGTCTTGGATTCAGGAATAGCTCGGGTTTAAATATCTGCTCCACTACTCACCAGACTCTCTAACTCCTAATTCTCTCTTCTGGAACACTGATGGCTATTTACAGGATAATCATTTGGACTAAATAAGAGAATCCTATATAATAAAAGGATAATATGCAAATTGACCCTAAAGGTAGAACGATCAGAACGACTGCTGGACCAGTCACTATGAGGTGAACTGACCACCTCTCGGTTCCTTTCCCTGGCCGGCAGGCTCCGATCGCCTGATGACAAATGAGAAACCAGGGGTAGGTGGTAGGGGATGCAGGCGGTGCCAGGCCAAGGCCCCCACCCTACCGGTCGCCCCACACACAGAGGGCAGCCCATGGTGGGGGCGGGGCTGGTGAGCGAACAGTAATAGCCGACCTCTCAGTCCCTTCCCTTGGCCATCAGGCACTGATCACCCTACGGTGAAAGGGTGGTGGCAGGTTTCAGGGCCGGCTGTGGGCAGCCAGGGAAGATGGCCCTGATGGCAGACCACACCTAGGGACCGTACCTGCTCATGAATTTTATGCTGAGCCTCTAGTAATATATAAAGAGCTAAGAATACAGTAGAGATACAGCAAAATGTTAGTTCCCGTGATTATCGAGTCGTAAGAACAGAAAGAGAAAAATGGCACAACTGCCCTCCAAAACAAAGAATTTTCTGTTTCTTTGACAACTTTCAACCAAGTGAAACTTGGAAAATAAAATACGTTGGTGTCAGAAAATGATAAAGCATTCGCCAACGTTATTGTTATAGTCAAGCTTTAAAATCAACAACAACACTAAAATGTTTCCAAGATAAAGAGAGAAAATCTAGTCCCTGCCCATGGTAACTTATGCAAACTGTGTAGCATGTTGAATAATAAAACCAAATTTCCTTTAGATAAGTCTTTGATTCTGAAATTTAGCCAAGAAGAATGATGCAGCCTAATGCCAGTTAAACATCATTGTTGGACATCAGTAGTGAGTGCTGTTACCTGCAGTTTTGACGCCAGGTTCCCAGCATAAGCCAAGCCACATGATCAAAATGAGAGGAGAAA